AATTAATATAATTTGAAAAAATTTTTTAATTAATTATAAATTTATAAATTTGAAAATCAATGAAAAGAAATTCGTTACCTCTTCTAGAAAGATAAATATTATTGGAAAAATTTCCATTTTGATTAAAGCTTTAAATTTAAAAAAAGATTTCCTTTAAAATTTACAAAAAGGATGAAACTTTTATTTAAATTTTAATCTTTTATGTTATATTACTAGTTTTAAAAATATTTTTCAATCTAATTATTTAACTATCCCAAATTCGATCATGTTTTAATGACAATCTTAATGACTGGCATGTATTGCAAAAGTTTTCTAAACCAAATTATTATTTTCTACATTAATTTTTTTACAAAACACTTAATTTGTTATTTAGGAATTTTGAGGTATTTGTGTTTTCCGGATAACTTCACGAATTAAATTTATTAATTCTTTCCATTATTTTGGATCTAATTTTGTTAATAAAATTAAGAAATAAACCTCTTAGATATTTTCGAAGATTATTCCCTTCTTTACTAAAACACATATTATAAACACCTAAAATAATTTGGCCATTTATATCTATCATAATGCATTTTTGTAAATATAAATTTAATTTTTAACAGCAGTGCAGCATTTACTCATAACACTAAGAAACTAAGCTTAAAATCCAATCATTTAGTCATAATAAAACTGGCTAGAAAGTATAATAGTTCCATTACACTAGTGTTATCACTGAAATTTGCAAAGAGGAAGGTGTATTAATTATCTAAAAAATGACCATATTTGCTTTAAATACATAATTTTCTGACGAAAAGTATAGTATAAACTAATATTATAATATAGTAGTAAATTAAATTGCCAATTGTATAGATAAATTAAATTATATATTGAACTAATATTATTAATTAGTAGTAAATTAAAATAATCAAATATTAACCAATAAGCTACTATAAAGAACTTTCATTTTCTTTTTTTTTTTTGCTTAAAATTGAAAGATAATTTTAGCCAATGACACCCTTAGGCTGATGAGACTTTAGGCCAAATGAGTCTTAACAACGAATCTTAAATTACTTGGAAGGATTAGAATTTTATTTATTAGATGCTTCTTTTAAATCTAAATTAGTTTTATCGATTATACGCTCTATATTCTCCTTGCAATATGTGTCAGCAGACCCTAATGAGAAAAATATGTAAGGCGCAAAAGGCAATTTTTAAAACCTAATTTATGTCTTTTTTACTTGTTAAATATGGATACATTTGCTTTAAATTAAAATCTTCTTTTTAAAAAAAAATACAACTAAAATTTAAAAATTGTCCTCTGCTTTCCACAATATTTTATTGACGTTCAATGGAATTTAATGTATTTCTTTAGGTTTCTTGGAAGATTTAAAAAGAAACCTCGAAAGAAAAAAATCTCGAAATTTCTTTGTGAGGTTTTTTCAATTTCAAACCGATGAATTCTGCTTTTGCATTATTATGCATTAGTTTCAGTAATTTAAAAAATGTTGCAGTTTGCTAAGCAAATTTTTTCAAATTTATTCTTATTTAAACTAGTTGATTAGTTGGTTAGTTGTTCTTATTGATATTAATTGTTATTTTTTTGTGTAAGACAGTTAAATTAAAAAAAAAACTATGTATGAATAGAATGTGTGATTGCCATTAAGAGGTGCGTTTGTCACGGAATTCCGATTAACATTAACTTAGAATGTTGTAAACAGAAGTAAATTTAGTAAAATCGCTTTGTCAAAGCTTACTAATTAGTCCCGTTTCTTTTATGTGTAATACACACTGAAGTGTGCAATTTGTCTTGTGAAAAACAATAAGAAGAGCTTTCGCCAAAGAACATAATCCTAACATAACAAAGTGGCCTTAGTGTAGTTGTCAATGAATTAGGAATTTTCTAGGTTGATGCATACAGAAGATATAAAAAAAAGTAAGATTTTTATATCGTTAATTTTACAGGAATATGATTATATTCTTTAAACAATTGCTTTAACTTCATATATTAAAGTTTAAGTTAGTATTAGTCAATGTTCTGATGATCAATAGAAATAGAAATTTTTGCATTTCTTCTATAATCTATGTTTGTACATTAAATTCAATTACTTTTCCATATATATTGATTAAAAATGGCGTTGCCTACATGTAAATGGGAAATCATAGTTTTTTTAAATTTAGAATAATATGAAGTGGGTTAATTTTATGTGCAAATTATTCAAAATGAGTGCTTGGTGTTGATACAAGAAAAATTATAATAGTAGCGAATCTATGTTAAGTGAAATAGTGAAGTTTTAATTTGGATATCTAGCCAACTTTATGGGTATTTAGATTTGCTTATAGTAATATCTAAAAGGAACGTAGTTACAAATGAAAAGAATACAAATTTTCACAAATTCATTTTTACTGATTTAAACTAAATAAAAATTATCATTTTAAAAACATTAAAATATTTAAGAAAGCAAACTTTCTTAACAGAAACATCAGTGTAATATACATATATAACAACAAATCCCTCCTTTTAAAAGTATTAATTGCATTAGGCGTCACAAAATCACAAAGACCAAACTCTCCAAATCACCAACAGCCGAAAGCTTATACTCGAACGAATTCAATAAGCGATATCCATTCGAACGACCCGAATTAAATTGTTTCTAAATCCCCTAAGATAATGCCTCTCAATCCTGTCAGGGATTTGGGCAACTCTTTCTACCGTGTAAAAGTAGGACAGCAAGGTATTTTCTCCTCTTCTTAACTCAAAAAAAAATCATTTTTCTTTTTGACTCCAAATTCCAGTCTAATTCTGCCTTCGACTTGGAGTTTTTTTTACTCAATCCGCTCAAAAAGTGCCACCGAAAAGAAGAAATCCGTGGTCTCTTTGAGACTTGCACTGCAAAGTGCCCCCGATGGGTATTGTACAAGGATCCAGTCTAGCAGATAATTATAGAATCATCTGCAGTTGGTGGATAGGCCTTTTTGCGTTGGCATGATGAAGCGCATAAGCTGCACTGAAGAGGCGTCCGAAAGGTGAGCCGTAAAGGCGGTAACAAGTGAAGCGCAATGATCCGTTTTCGGATGTCAGATATAAGCTGACGTCACGCGAGTTTGCTCGAAGTCTTTATTTCACGGATGACCAAGCTGGACTTTGCCAGGCATTCTATTCTCCAAGCTCCGACACCTTCTATACATCAAGGCCTCTATTGTGTGGCATCCGGATGCTATCGTGGCGGTATCCTTTGGCGCGTAGGAGGAGCAGATGGTGCAGGCTGAGAAATCGAGAACAATGGAGAGGCTTCTTTTCCTTTGGATTAATAGCGATCATTCACTGGAGAGACGTAGCTGGAAGAGGCTTCTTTTCAAGATGCTCAGATTTTCGGGACCATGTTGGTTGCTTTGCATTCCCCAGCAGCTTTGGAACTCTGTTGTTTATTTGACAGAATAAGAAATTTTTTTCCGGGCTTACTTGGAGACGGTTTGTATGGTTTTGCATACTCATGTTTTCTTGAAGGAGTTTTGAATTGAATCCAAATTTAATTCAACAATTTTTCTCTTTGTTTACGATGCATAATATCAAATGCTGTGTTAAAATACTGATGTTTTGTAAGTAGTTCTTTTGGAGATATTTTGTTCTGATGGTCTACTGAATCTATTGCAATTTTTTAAATAAACTTTGTGTGGTGTTGTGGAATCAAAATAAAACTTCAAAAAAAAAAAATGATATCTACCAATAATCACCAAACTCTCTTTAATACTTCTAAATCAATATCAACCAATAAGCTTTTAACCCAAAACATCACTTCCCAACAGGAACCGTATTAATTAACTCCATGATAATCCAACCAAACTATCACCAGTCACATCAAGACTTAATTAAATTAATACATGTACCTTGTGTTTAGCAATAACCCATAATTATTCCACATCAATTAAACACCACAACATTATATATTATCCGATTGATTCACTTAAACTCCAAAATCTTGTGAGATAAGTGATAATAACATACCCATAAAATGAAGAACACAATATAGATAAGAAACAAAAATTTATATGCACATAAAAGACCAGTTTACACAAAATAATATAAGTTACAATAAGAATATATTAATAGTATTAAGTTAGAAAGGGGGATTAAGACAGTTAATTCTGACAACAATTAATCAAGATTAATATCAATTGCCCACCGGCATCAAGTATATAAATGTTAAGATTAATTACCAATATATAAGTACATAAAATGCAATTTACTTAACAGTGCAAAATCTGTATTAGCATCTCCAAACATCACGTCCCAACCAGTTAAATTTATTCACTATTCTAAAACCTTCCCCATCTAGATGAAACATTTTATGCAATGTATCACAGGAACCATGGGCAAAGCACTGTTGGTCACCAAAAAAAATCATGGAAATTACTTATGTCCCTTTCCAATATAAAATATGCATATACTGTATACGCCTATCTTTCAATGTATGATGGATGGGGAAGAAATAGGGAGTGAGAAAAAACTCGCCCGCAACTCGACTCCGAATATCTGAGAGAGGGGAGGGTTGTGTAATTGGTTCGCATAAAATGTTGTATATTCATAAATTTAATATAAAATAAATCAAAATCAGAAATTTTAGTTTTGTCTAAATGAAAAAAACTTTTCAAAATAACTTTTTTTTTTTAATTTTTAAAAATTAGTATGCGGTCTTAACATTTTAAACGTCAGGCCAAAATTGTTGTTGTTGTTGTTGTTTGTTGTTTCTTATCCCACTTGGCTCGCCAAGCCCACGAGCCCATACGTGCTCATGATTGAAGGGGAAGGAAGCAGCTTCTGTGTTGTGATGGAGCACCCGTAGGTAAAAGCCTGACTTTTGCTCCGTGACGCTCTTACAGTCATAGGAGACTGGGACCTACAGCTTAAAGTGGATTCCGAACCACTACAAACATCCATGGCACCGCCGGGATTCGAACCCGAAACCTGTTGGCACAGAGTGCCAGAGCGCTAGACACTCGGCCATTCAGGTCCCAAATTTGCCAACGGCACGCGGTGTTCCCAGATGGTCACCCACCCAAGTACTGACCGCGCCCAATGATGCTTGACTTCGGTGATCTAACGAGAACCGGTATAGGCCAAAATTAAACCTCATAAGCATATCATATTTATTGAAATTAATAATTTGATTAGAATTGATGATTGATATTAATAATTGAGATTGATATTAATATTTTGATTGATATTAATAATTTGATTGATATTAATAATTTGAGTCAAAGATCTCGTAAAAAAGTGCAATCAAAGAGTATTTATAGCATGAATTACTTGCTTCCAATCAAAACCTTTTTATTTAGAAAAGAACTATGCTACAAATTATTTAATATACATACATACATGTTAAACTTCAATTTAATGAATGGAATTCTCCATGTTATATCTTAAAAGCTCAAGAATTTTTGTTATAAGTATTCGCTTTAAAGGAAGGCTATCCAACATAGGACTCTACATAAATTGTCAACTTCAATGCAACATTAGCTATTTTTATTTTAACTTTGCTTTACTTAATAGCATTATTATTTTGAAATTCGCGTGACTGTGTAATATTTTCTATTAAATGTTATCACAGAAACGCCGTCAGAACTAGATTAAAGAATATGTCTTTTAAAAATGCATTGCGTTAGTGGAATTCCACTGAAATAATTTCATAGTAATGTAATAATAAGGTTATAAAGTCTCTTTGATAACATATTATTAAAATTATCCAACTAAACATATTTACCTGATATTTCCTCCGAAAAAAAACAATTTTCCCAGTAATAAAGAAATATTTTATTTTTTTATAACATATAAAAAAAATACCCAGGTCGTGATTTCTTAATTAGTTAAATACTTATTTACAATTTTATATATTATTTTCTAAAATATTTCTTTTTTAAGTGATTAAATTTTCTTGACCTATTAGATGATTTTTTTAAAATTCTGAACAAGCAGAGATAAATAAATTATGCTACGACATTTGTTCTTATTTCACATGATGGATATCAAACTAACTTTTCCACTTTACTAATATTGTTAGAATTATTATTTTTCATGCTGCCTGAGATATTTTTTCATTTTTTTTCTACTATATTCGTCTAAATGGCCCCAAAAAACCACGAAAACAGGTTAGGAATTAGGTTGAATATTTTTAAGATGAAATTTTATAGAAATCTTAAATTTTTATCTTTTTGATTGGATTAATAATATATATACTGATTAATATACACTGAAGTGACAAAAGTCATGGGATAGCAATATGCAAATTTTCAGATGGCAGTAGCATCGCATAGAACAGGTATAAATGCGCAGTGCTTTCGCAGAGCTTTCATTTCTGTTCAAGTTATTCATGTGAAGAGGTTTTGACGTGATGATGACCGCACGACGGGAATTAACAGACTTTGAACGCGGAATGTTAGTTGGAGCTAGACGCATGGGTCATGCCATTTCGGAAATCGTTAGGGAATTCAACATTCCCAGAACCAGTGTGTCAAGAGTGTGCCGAGAGTATGAAATTTCAGGCATAACATCCCACCATGGACAGCGCAGTGGTCGACCGCCTGCACTTAACGACCGAGACCGGCGACGTCTGCAAAGAGTCGCAAATTCTAACAGACAAGCAACACTGCGTCAAATAACCGCAGAAATCAATGTGGGACGTACAAGGGACTTGTCTGTTAGAACTGTGCGGAGAAATTTGGCTTTCTTGGGCTATTCCAGCAGAAGACCGACTCGAGTGCCTTTACTGACAGAACGACATCGTTTGCAGCGACTCTCGTGGGCACGTGAGCATATCGGTTGGTCCCTAGATGAATGGAAAACTGTGGCCTGGTCCGATGAGTCACGATTTCAGTTGGTAAGAGCTGATGGTAGGGTTCGAGTGTGGCGCAGACCCCACGAAGCCATGGACCCAAACTGTCAGCAAGGCACTGTTCAAGCTGGTGGTGGCTCCGTAATGGTGTGGGCTGTTTTTTCATGGCATGGACTTGGTCCTCTGGTGCGACTGGACCGAACATTGACTGGAAATGCTTATGTTCAGCTACTTGTAGATCACTTGCAGCCATTCATGGACTTCATGTACCCAAACAACGATGGGATTTTTATGGATGACAATGCGCCATGTCACCGGGCCACTACTGTTCGCGATTGGTTTGAAGAACATTCTGGACAATTCCAACGAATGATCTGGCCACCTAGATCGCCCGACATGAATCCCATCGAGCATTTATGGGACATCATCGAGAGGTCTGTTCGTGCCCAAAATCCTGCACCATCAACGCTTTCACAATTATGGACGTCTATCGAGACAGCATGGCTCAATATTCCTGCAGAAGACTTCCAACGACTTGTTGAGTCCATACCACGTCGAGTTGCTGCACTTCGCCGGGCGAAAGGAGGGCCGACACGATATTAAGAGGTATCCCATGACTTTTGTCACTTCAGTGTATATATCAGGGTTTTAGTTTTAGATTTTTTTTGTCATAAGTTATAACCTTATATATATATTTGTAATTATACATAATATTATTATGCTAATATCGACATAATAAAATAATAATACATAGAAAATAATGTATAGTATAATACAAATTAAAAATCTATGAAAAAATAATCTATTATAAAATGATTTATACATAATTAAAATTTATTATTATAAATATTTTATAAAAATAATTGGTTTTATGGTCATCGCTTGCTGTAATATTTATGGAAATAGAAGGTAATTTGATTGGTGTAAATCATAATTACATTTCGTTCAATATATAAGATGGTAATTATATATTTGTTACCTAGAATTTACTTCTATATACGTGAGGGTTAAATTTTCAGCTATTAAATTAATTTTAGACAACTAAAAAATGTATTTCAAATCCCCTATAATGAATAAATAAAACTGATAAAAATTATTTTTAAATCTATTTTTATTTGCTAAAATAACACAAAAAAATCTACTACAGAAACTTTTAATACAGAAAACCAAAAATAATTCATCTCAATTATTCTTCAAGTAGCATACTTCGTCATACGATGATTCCTTTTAATAATGAAATATCCTTCACAGAAACTCAATTATTTGTTTTAATACCAAGCACAGGTTAATACTTGACTATCGCAAGAGAATAATTTTTCTTCACCAACAATTCCTTTGAAAGGAACACATACCATCGCAGTTATTCCTTATCTATTAACTTAAACTTAATATCATTTCACATTTTCTGGGATAATACTATAATATCTACCATCCTTCACACACGACGTTGCAAAGTAATACAACGCGCAGACTGTTATTTTTCTAAGCAAGCATCATTCTCTCGCGTATTCATTTGCATTCAACATGTTTTCTGGAAGATGATGCTTTGAATGTACCTCCTTACTTCTATATAAATCAAACCCAAGAAAATGCTCTTCCAACCAATATTTAGGCATAATTAGAAATGTTTCACAATACAGATAAGTCTTTTCCACGAAATATATGCTTAATTTCCGTTCGCTGCAACTCAAATGAGAATTCGTCAATACCTTGCGCGAAAAGAAATCACCTAACAATAAATCCCTCTATGGTGAGTTTCTGTTCATAAGATTCGCCAACCTAATTGTAAGTAATCCATAATATAACAAAATGCGTACACCAACCAGGTCTTTTGTGTTTCCTTCGTAGAAAGAGATGGAGGGGAGAAATGGCCACAGCTGGTGCCTCTCAAAGTATTTTCAAAGGAATACAGCTCCTTCTCTTCCACTTCTATAACGATTATTCTTTGCCAATGACACAATAATCAGGCAATTGCTGTCGAGTTTGGAACCTTTGAAAACTGAATTTAAAAGGAGCTTCGTGGAATAAATATTTTCTAACGAAGAATCTTTTCCCAAAAAGATCGCCACATGTTTCTTTCATTTTAAAACCGGAAGTTTTGAAGATTATTCAGCAGAGCATTTTTGCAACTACTTTAGAAAAACTAAGGCAACCCCATTTTCGCTTGAATTATTTGGGTTTTTATTTTTTTTAGCTCTATGTGTAATCAGGTTATATATATTTTTTTATTATTTTCTTTAGCCAACCAAACTACTTGAATACAAATAACTATTTACTTATCCGCTTCAAGTCATACCTATTTGATAAATGTGCATTCGTCTTTCTGAAATAAGGATAGTTTTTAAAGAAAAACTAAGCAATTATTTTTGTGGAAATGGTCATTATCGTAATATATAAAAAGAGAATCCAGAATTTTTATTAAGTTTTCTGCTTGTAGGTGTTTTGAAATAAAACAGTTCATTTAAATAAAACTTTGAAATTTTTGCATTAATTATATAAATTTCAAGAAATTCTTAGGTTAATGAAAAAAATGACTTTTTATTTATTAATTCACAAAATTGTTAAATGTTAGTCAAAATATTTTTAAATATTTGATTAAAAAACAGTTAAGCCTGAGAAAAAGAGTTTGAATAATAAGAGTATATTAGTACAAAAATACAAAAAAAAAATTCATAATAGAAATATGATAATATTTCTAAATAACAAAACATTTATCAAATATTTCAATAATAATAAGATATTAAAAATTATTTATTTTTGTTTCTGCGTATTTATTAACATCAAATCATTTTGAATGATGATGTTGAAAATTTGATGAACTTTATAATCTAAAGGATGCCACGCTTTAAAATTTTGATAAAGATAATTTTAAAAAAAATAATTGGGCTATTTTTGCGAGTCATTGTATAGCCGAATCTTAATTTTAGTGTAAATCGTTAAAATATTATTAATATGAATCAAATTGCAGAGTCGTTTGAAATGTTTTTTAATCAGGAATTTAAGTATCACAACAAAAGTGTATAATATATAATATGCATTTCAATTTTTCTATCGAAAATATTTAAAAATTCATTGTTAGATACAAATTCATATTTGTTCATCACAAAAAGCAAAACAATTTTATGCTGATGAATCTTCTGATCAAGATTTATAAAATACGTTACCAAATTTCTTGTTTTTCAAAGATAGGATACACAAAAAATATAAAAAGTAGTATTTTGAAGTATGCATAGAAAAATTTACATAGCTATAAAAAGGTTACCCAAATTTTGAAGATTTCCACACT